TCTTGTCAGGCAGTGTTTGATCATTATGGGCTGAGAGGTTAAGTGTAAGACCATTGAGGGTAATACCTGATGGGTTAATCTTGCATCTGCCCATAGTCCTTGGGTTTTATAAGGTGGCTTGACCCAAAGACCATTTAGTGTAAATGTTGGGCCCATTAAGAGSCCATGGTGATGGACTCAGGGGTTCACTATCACCTACAGTGAATTCGGCCAGGCCTTGTAATAGAGGCTGGGCTGAACCCATGTGGCTGATATGTAGATCAATGTTTAGGTTCCACGCCATACAAGGATATCCAACTAGGCAGCAATTTGGAGGATAAGTGAGCACATGGACTTAATGGGCCTAAAGCCCAATTCGAACAGGCTTAATTAGATTAATTAAAGAGGGGTGGTTCTAGGATTTAGATCAGCAGATAGGATAAAGGATTGTCCCTATCCACTCAGAGAGTCCAGATCCAAATAAAGATTTGGATTAAGAAACTCCTAATTAGATTAGGAGGGTTGATCTTTATCTACAGATAAGATAAGGGATTATCCTTATCTCTTAAAGAGAGTCCAGATCCAAATATAAGATTTGAATTAGGAAACTCCTAATGGGATTAGGAGAACATTTCTTTAAGGCTATAAGTAGAGGAGGAGGGCGAACCCCAATTCATCCTGAAGTCCTTGGCCGGTTGGCCTCAGCTCACTAGTTCCTCCCTGAGGTCGAGACCCTCTAGTGGCAGTGCTTCCCTATTCTTACCCTTCAGTACTGCAACGTAACACTGACGAACGACTTTTTGGTCCCCCCGAACGACTCTGATGCTGTGCTCGGTGGGGAACTTAAGGGTGAGGTGGTAGGAGGAGATGGCTACCTTGAGTGTGTGAAGGGTCGACCTCCCAATGATGGTGTTGTAGAGGGAGCTGATCCTCACGGCCAGGAACTCCATCATCATCACCTGTCGAGGCTCTGTCCCTACCTTGACGGGTAGGGTGATTCTTCCTTCCAGCCTAACCATGCTACTAGAGAAATTGACAAGTGGCATGTTGATGGGCTAGAGGAGCTCGAGCACCAGTTTCATTCTTTCAAACGCATCATAGAAG